AAAAAGTTTATTTCTTATATACCTTATAGTATATAAACGTAGAAAACGTGGCTCGATGATTTATTTTTTCGGCCATTCGAGCTTCACGTAGTACAACCGCATTAAATAGTAACTACCTGAAATTAACTAATGATAGAAACCGCTGTATCTGAATGTAAACGCAAATAGCGCTTGACATTTTGCAGGCACTATGCAATTGGCAGACAATCAAGGTATCCCGATTTTGAAGAATCTAACGACTATGATACAAAGCAACGGAATTGATTGCAAAACTGGTAACACATTGGATCCGATTATAAACTATCAACAGACGATTGTTAACAAGAGCGTCAATGGCGCCCGAAATGGTTTGATCAACGGTAAGGCGACGTTTGCTGAGCGATGTAACATAAACGACGATGGCCAAGAACCAGAAATTCGCAATGGCGATTCAACCATGAGGCCCGACGAGAGTTTGCGAGAATTAAAAGTCGATAAACCGCAGAAGAATGGATTTGATAATAGATTCTAAGGATATACGGAAAATTAAAGAAATAATAAAGTCTCTCAATAAGCAATTCGCAAACAATTCTGAATTATAACAGGGACTTAAATTCAGTATCGATGCGAATCTTATCTGAATTAATACTGAGTAAACAACTGCTAGTGCGATAGACTTCTAAAATTTCACACAGATAATATCTATTTTTTAATCAAACTTGCGTGTCGTACTTAAGGAATTTTCGTGGAGGGTCTTACGGCCAAGTTTCGTCAACGTCGATTAAATTTGGATCCGAATTAGGATCCAATGTAAATCTTCCAAGAATATGACGAAATTTGCACGACATTTCAAAAAATCTTAAGATATTTAACAGATTTTTAAATAATACATTTTTCATTCTCTAACATTTTCTTACAATTTTAAAAAATTTCAGATGAAAAAATATTTGTAGGAAATGTCGATTGAAATTGTCATTTTCGTCCTTCGTGTGATATTTGATAAGTTTCATCACACTTCTCATATCATTTCTTTTTGAATTTATACAGGAAAGAGGAGATAAAGAATGAGCTAAAGAAGAATTAAAGATGAAGTGAACAAAAGTTAAAGTTATGCGACATTGATGAAACGAGGTCCTAGCAAGTTTTCAATACAGCTCCACTGAATGAGCGATGTGCATTGATGCACCAAGTATTTGTACTTTGCTTTACTTTATTCTAGTTTACTCTTCATATGCTTCAAGTATTGTCCAACAACTTTTGAAAGCTCGGAAGAATGATTGTGATAGAGAAATGTACGTATCGTATTACAAGAAATCAAACGTTTTGAGAACGTGAATCTTATAAAAGAGAAATATCGAGCATTTAAAAAACAATGTTATCGGGCCACATATCCTAAGAAATTATTAGAACATTCTCTTGGAACTATCGCAAAATTTTTGAGATACAAGGAATTCAAATTTGTTAGATATGTTAAGTATCTCTGTAACGTACTTAATGTCAAAAAAAGTTACAAAAGATGTCAAAAATTTATGTTCCAACTGTAACTGTAGAAATCCAACTGTAAAATGTAGTATTTTGCGATACGTAGCTGATACAGTAATGCAATATCGAAATTTAAAAGCGAAGTTTTAAAGTGAGCTATCAGATCTTTAGCACTTGCATAAATTTCTACATGTACACTGTGTCAGAAATGCCTAGCCATTTGTATTTGCAGGAGTATCGAGACATGTTCAAGTCGCGCTTTCTTTTAAAAATATTCGTACTTATTATGATTAATAGTTATAAAAGTTATGCGTTTCATGAGTTTTCTCCGTACCCAGATCCATTCTTGGAATGCCAACGTTTCGTGAACCTTGCAATCCACTTCACAAGGCTGTTCCTTGCCCTGATGAACTGACATGAAATTTGAATTAAAAGTTAAGTTAATAAAAAGAGTAATTGAAAAATTAATTTACATAATTGTTTACATAATTTTTCATATTTTTCCTTTCTCACAGCATATATAATGTGACACAATTATTTAGATTTAATTCAATTTTAAGTTTACGTTATAGTTTTTTGAATAACCATTAGTTACAATGCACGAATATTTAAAAAGGAACGCGCCTCTTGAACATACCTCAATACTCCTGCAAATTCAGATGGCTAGACATTTCTGACAACGTGTGTATGTACTAGAAAAGAAATTAATATCGAGATATTTCGTAAAATTCTTGAAGCACGAATTCACCTGCGGCAACTTTAGTTCCTCGGAATATAATATTTTCATTTTCTAATTAAGATCGGAAATTGTAAATTTTTAAAATCTTTAGATTAAAATTAGCTCGTTTGATTGCAGAGAATGATTTTTTTATTTAATTGGAGGGAAAGATTGAAACTTGTATAATACTTTTTAAGGCGTTATCTAATGTTTCTTTTACTATTGTTTTTAAAAAGTTATCCTACACACGCGCGCGCGCGCGCACACACACACACACACATTAATTTTTTTAAATTAAATTTTTCTGAATTTTCGATTTTAATTTTTATAAAAGAAAATTGAATTATAAAGTTTCTTGACTAAGGATTGAAGATAGTACAAGGCTATATTCGAAATATTTTCGAACAATTAATATGAGAATGAATTCTTTTTTATCGTCGAACCAAAGCTTTCTGTTATATTTGTATATATTTTTTAGTATATAGGAATCCCTAAGTCTTTAGATTTCATGAAATTGTAATCTGATAACTCACTCAAAAAATATGGCAATAGTATAAAACAATCTGTTGTAATCATGGCGAATTCTTAACACGATCGAATATATCAGTACTTAATAGGTGTTCTTGCCTATAGAAGTAATTAAGTTAATTGTATATAATGTGGCGCAATTATTTTTGAATCTACCATTTCTGTGATTAATTGTAATATGTGTTGTCGATGTAATTGCGAGAGATTTCACAAACAGCGGGACAAGAGATTTACTGGAAAAAGAGATGATAGAAAAGTATAACTTACGAGATCCTGTATATTTTGCCCTAAAACTTGGTGATGAATTCTGCGATGACGCTTATCCATACGTGTCGCTTTCGCATTTTCTACACGCCAAAGTAATCATTCACAAATTTTTGCTACTGTTTAGAGATGAAGTGCCTGTGAAACCATTCATTCGCGGAAATAAAGAGAAAGAAATATATATATGTATATATATATTATAAAAATATATATATGTATAAAAACACGAAAGTCTATATTTTCATTCGATGATACAACGGTGAGTTATCAATACGCACTCAGTTTACGTAGATAATGGATCTGAAGAACAAAACGTTGTACCCATAAGCATCTAATAAAACAATGTCACGTGCCTATCATGTCTTATGTCTCCACCATGTGCTAAACCTATTTAAAACATTTCAAGAGAAACTTTTTCTTTTAAATGAAAAGTTAATTTTCACTTTAATTCTGTAGTTATTTCTTCTACTTAACATCTCTGAATGAACATTCCATTTAGGATGGCTTGTGATTAAAGATATATTTTTTGAATAACCTTGAATGAAAAATTTTAAAGATTTATTTTTACGTTTTTATTTATTTTTTCTAATTAAATAATTAAGATAAACTTTAAATATTTGCCTTTTACTGTAGCAGTCTTTTAAAAGTATTTATGCGTTATTATACATTTTATTAATATATTAGGTATAGAAGAAAATACGAATTAAGCAAAACATTGTTTCAGCACAGCTGAATCATTTATTGGCAACCTGTTAGAAATCCTCACAAAAGAGGAGCCTCTTTTTTCGAGTTACAGTTTAGATAAACTCTTAGTTTTCTACACTGTTTCTCTTATTTTGATCTATTATCGTAATTACTTATCATTATCCTTTTTTTCCAACAGACAATTAACATGTTAGTAAAACACTGTTTAATCACTTAGTCTTGGTCTACAATCTTGCTTTAAGAGGCCTTAAGTCATAAGTCGAAAGAGATTAAGTGATAATTTCTGTCTTTAGACTGTTTTTGCGCAATCGTTAGACTTTAACTGTCAGATTTAAGCGAATAGAACAAAACTATTCTTACGGCCTAAAAGTATAAGCTCTGTGGCCGATATATCGTCATTTACAACTTACAGCTTACGGCTTACGGCCTCTTAAAGTAAGATTGTGGACTTGCCCTTAGAGTGGAAAGTAAACATTTAGTTTGTTACGGTCCTTATTTTGTTTCG